CGTCAAAAGGTACAAGAAATGTCAGAGACCGTTATCGCCCTGAACCACTCATGATGTGCCGTGTGTCGTCTCACATGCTGAGGATTCTTTAAAAGCTCTAAGTAGAGATATTTAACAGGCTACCTCTAGAGGTTTCGGACTAACCCTAGCGGGCTTCGAACTGAACAGTCCAGACCTAAAAAGCCCGAATTTAAATGGGCTACCAATAAAAGGACTATAATAATAATAATAATAATAATAATAATAATAATAATAATAATGTATCCAAAAATATCAAAAATCAAAATAAAAAAATATAAAAAATTACGACTAATTAACGATTATTTTCAATGTGATTTAGTATTTACCGCTCTATATATACAACTACACATCATATACAAACACACACTACAAACTCTTAAATAATATTTTTTTCAATAGAAAAAAAATATTCAAATTATCACTTACAATTACCATTTTACTGCTTATTTTGTACGCTTCGATTTTTTTTAACAAGTTTATATCAATATAAATTCTATCATTTCATGTGTTGGTTCTTTATTTCTTGTGTTTCCTATTAATCGTTCTGATTCACTTAAATATTTTGGTGTAGAATACAATTCTTAATATTGTTAATAATTATCTTTCAAAAATCTTTATAATCTGTTACAGCTCATACTTACATTTGAAGTGGTATAGCAAAATTGTAACATATAATGAATTTAATAACATATTACTTACTTGCTGCAAACAACACCTAACCTAAGTTAAACGGGCCAACCCTAGCTAATTTTGGACTAGCACTAACGGGCTTCAGTTTAAACGGTCTAAGCCTAAAAGCCCTGATTCAAACGGACTACCAATAAAAAACCCTCCTATCCCTGTTTTTTTCCAGGCTAAACGGGCCAGCCCGTCGGGCTAAAGACTGTTTAACATCTCTAACTCTAAGATTCGACCATATCTAGTCAAGCTGCTAAGTCATTCTGTCAATGCTGGATTCAACCATATCTGGGCGAATGACCCCTGCTATTGCTCGATCGTCCATCACTTCGACAAGATCTCTTGTATTATGGGGTTTGCTAAGCCCACAGGGATCTACCTATCTCCGACTTCAGGGCCTCCATGGTCATGAAAATTCCATCTAACTGATTCGATCAACCCAGTTTACTTTCTTGTTCCAACAAACCGGTCGAGTATATTATGTCCTGTAACAATAATATTAATAAATTTTATTTTATAAAATAATTCATTTTAATCTATAACTTAATATATTATACTAACATAATTTTTCGTATTATAATTAATAATATCTTATACTATATGAATTTATAATAATTATACCAATTACTAATATAATTTTTTATATAATAATCTAATTTATACTAATATATAGAGCTATAAACGAACTGAACGTTCGCAAATAAAAGCTCGTTTGAGCTCGTTCGTATTCGACAAAACTGGTTCGTTACATTTAATTTTTTATATATTTATATAATATTTTTAATAAAATTATAAAATTTAATATAATTTTATTTATTTTTTATATATTTACATAATATTTTCAAAAAATATAAAATATAAAAATATTTTTATTTAATTCTTTTATTTTCGAGTTCAAATGAGTTCGAACGAACAAATTTTGAGTTAATCAAACATATTTTAAAAGTTTATATATTAAATTATTCAAACACGAACGTATTCAAACTTTGACGAACAATTAAACGAACGAAATCGAACATAATTTTTTCTCGAAAAATAAACGAGCGAACATGAATATTGTTCGAACGCAACCCAAGCTCAATTCGATTCGTTTACAACACCACTAATATAGTAATTAGTATAATTATTAATATAATTGTACTAATTATTATACTAATTACTATATTAATATAATAAAAAATTATATTAGTAATTAGTAGAATTATGATAAATTATATTAGTAATTACTATTATAATTTTTAATATATTATTTTAATATACATATAAATATATATTTTATAAAAATTTTCAATAATTATAAATTATATAATATATTAATATATTTCAATTAATAATTTTTTTACTTGTTTTTAAAATATTTAATAATATTTATAAAATTATTTAAATATATTATTAATTTTTAAACATTTAATTAAAAAAAAATGCGGCCGCAAAAAGAACAGCCAGCCGCAAAGTTGTATGCCAGCAACCGTCAGTGACCACAAAACAAAAAACCGCCGGCCTTTTCGCGGCCTCATATGGGACGGCCGGAACAACGATCGCGGCCAAAAAAGTTCGGCCGCGGTCAACGACTGTCCCCACCGAAGTGGGCTATGTTTGCCAGCCGACACGCGGCCGCAACTGTCGGCCGGCCAACAATTTTTTAAAACATTTTGTGTGAATGTAAAAAAAATACTTGTTGATCGAAGAGTCTTTCACGATGCATTTTTTCTGATTTTTTTCAAAAATTTTGTTTTTTGTACAATTTTTTTTTATTTTAAATAAAAAAGGCAAAAATGTCTTTTAGAGAACAGTATTTAGTGATAGGGGTAGTGTATAGTTACACCCTTTGGGTAAGTGCCTATCTTTTCTATCTTCAAATAAAATGAAAGATGCAAATTTTCAATACACAATAAATTTCACCGTTTCTAATTTGGTAGAGCTCAAATGAAACAGAGCTCCGATCAAAATGCAGAAGCGGATAGTAGATTTCGCGTCGGCTCATACGCAAACACCCATTTCAATAGAGAGCGAAGGTAATCAGTAATCGACGCATTAACCTATATATTACATAAACTATATCAAACTATAATTGGCGGGACCTCAGAGATCTTGGTGGATGAGAAATCATCAAATGGGAAAAATATTTCACTTCCCATCAAGAGTAGCAAATATTTGCTCACATCAACGGCCAAAAAACATTCAATTATAACCATAAAAATTAGGTCAGGAGTAGCTGATCAAAGAAGAAATCACGGATATATCATTGGGAATCCGATTGACTTAGTTCATAAACCCTAATTGATACTCAAAAATAAAATTGAAACAAAGGCTAATAATGTATCTACCTTGTCACCGAATATCCATTAGAGATAAAAGAGGAAGAACTCGGAGCTAAAGGTAGAAACATATATACAGGAATGATTATATATATGCTTAGGGATTGATATGGCCTAACGATAGATCCATCGATCTACGAGATTAAACCGACGGATTTGCAATATTAGGCCACAAATAATAATTGTTTCTGTATTCTTACACAAACAAAAATTGCTTAAAAGGACATCAATTGTGCAGGCAAACACAAACATATGAACTCATACCTTGCGAGTACTTTATGAAACAGTGTCTCATTCGGTAGATCTTCGAATGCTTCGTATTTGGAAGAGCTCTACCTACCGACTGGTAATGGTGGAACTGTACACGGTACAATTCATAGTGCATCACACTGAAAACATCGCCGGAAAAATATCGCCGTAGACGCACACATCGCCAGAAAATACAAAAATTCGCTATTGGGGGGCGGGTGGTGAAGAAGAGAGAGCATGTGCCCAAGGTTTTCTGATCTTCTGTTTTTAAAGGCTGCAAAAAAACCCTAGCTTGCGATAATGGGCCTGGCGTACAGAAAGTAAGTACTCGGCTTTCGGCCTTTCTAGACACCTCTCAAACGGGCTGTCGGCAAGGTTGGAATATTTTGTCAAAATTTTGGGCTTGCTTGTATACGGGCTGTCAACTCAAAATATAACTCAATTTTAACTCAACCTCATTATCTTTAATATAATTCATATAATTAAATAATACAAACCAATCATTCTTACATATCATATCAACTTTAATTCACTATTCATTCACTCACATAATTTTAATTACCTATCATTTTCAATCATTTATCTCTTACTTTTACATCAAATCAATTTTAATTATTTTATTTTAAATATTATTTTAATATTATTTTAATACATTCTTAAAATTCCACTACAATTAACCGTATCAACTTTTTCAAAATTAACTATGGTTAACCAAAATAATTCAATTTGAACAAATTATTTCATAAACAATCAAGCTCTTATGTTCCCGGAGGTTTTGGTCCGTACTAATTGGTTTTGTACTAGTTTATAGTAATATAAATAATATTTTAACATATATATTTATTTTTTAATATAGAAAAAATAATAAATTATACATATTTTGGTTCATCAAAACGCTTAGATATTATTTTAGATATTATTTTATTTAAAAAGTTATTGTCGTATAATGTCATTACTATTTATAACAATTATACAAGCAATATTCTTTTTTTATATATAAAAATAAATATTTATATATATTATTATTATTTATTGATGTGGTTATTTTAAAAATATATAAGCAAATTTAATGTTTGGTATGAATGCGACTATACGAAGTTAAAGATAAAATAGAATGTATTCAAAAAAATCTTTTAATAATATTTCCTTCAAATGTTTGAATGAATCATAAATTCTTTTTTTTTTTTTT